TGTGTGTGGGGAGTGCAAGTGCAAGGGAGGTAGGAAGGCTGCAAGAGGAAGAAGTGAGTGGGGCAGAGGGTATGGGAGCCATCTGACCTCCTCCCCTCCAGCCACTGCTTTCCCTGCTGTAATGGGGGGGTGGGGTTCAAGACAACCCTCCAATACTTAGGTTCTATACCTGGAAAATTATAACAAATTCATAAATTCTTCATATATAGAATCTAATAATTGTGGGGGTCATCTCTGAGTATATATGCTGGTTAGCTATTTATTCTTTACAGAAGAGTCACAGAAGTTTAGGGCTGGAAGGGACCTCATGAGATCATCAGGTCCAGCCCCCCCTGCTCTAGGCAGGAGAGACTGCTGGGGTCAAATAACCCCAGGAAGATGTGTCCAGTCTACTTTTGAAGATCTCCAGGGTAGGTGCCTGCACCACCCCCACTGGGAGTCTATTCCAGAGTCTGGTCACATGCAAATGTTAGTTCTGTTAACACTTTGGTTGGTGTTGTGCATATGCTCTAACCTGGTGCTGAAAAAAGATTACATTTTGGTTTTGGTTTTGTCAGTTATTACCAGTAAGATTCATTAACTTTTGGGTAAGTGTTGGCTGTAGAGCACCACAGGAAGCTACAGCAATTGCATGTGTCTATGGGTACGTACAGACATTTGGGGAGGTTAGATCATGTTAAAAATACCCACCTAATCTAACTGAGTTTGCCTACATGTAGATCTTACACTTAGATCTGTAGTGCAAACTGTACAGAAGTTCAAGGCAGGTTAGATCCATCAAAAAATGGCTGACCTGATCTAATTTAATCCTACCTTGGAGGTAGTCTAAGTTAGCTCAGGTCTGGCAAGAATGATTAACTAAACTTCTGTACATGTTCCCAGCACAGGCCCAGGGCTGGGAATGTCCAGCTGCTGGCCCCAGACCCAGGGCATCACTTTTCCAACCTGCATTGTAATGCGTAGGGGGTGCACATGCACTCTCTGAGTGTGGCAGTGCACCTCCTACAAAAAAAAGGTTCTAACACTGCCAGTGGACCTGCAGGTGGTCCCCCCCCTCCCCCCCACCACTACCAACAGCACTGCAGCCACCTGCTGGAGCTCACCACTTACCGCCACCACCGCCACCTGCCGGAGCTCACCATGCCCCCCCAGCCTCCAGGGGCACGCGGCATTCATGCCTACCTGTCCCCACCTCAGTGCCAGGATATTTTTAGACCCCCCCATCACTCACCCCACATCCAAACAACCCCCTCTCCCCGGGGACCAGCCAGAACCTCAGCCTGCTAAACCCCCCAATCCCAGAAGCTGCTCCTGGTGCTGGTTTTACTGGCGTTCACTGGTGGTGGTTTACTGGTACTGGTGCTGGGAGCCAATAGAAGAAAACTGGGATGGAGGGAAGGGTGGGCAAGATTGGGGGGTTGGTTTGCCAGGGGGGTTGTTCATCTGGAGGTCGAGGGAGTTGGAGGATAAAAATATCCCCTAGTCCTGGGGTGGGGGGTGGAGAGAGCCCCCCCAATCCTGCCAACCCTGCCATAG